GGAACCTGCCTACTCTCCCTATTTTAGGGGGGTGGAGGGAACCTGCCAACTTTCTCTATTTTAGGGGGGTGGGGGGAACCTGCCAACTCGCCATATTTAAGGGGGGTGGGGGGATACTTCTGATTTAGGACCCTAAAATGAACCATTTCTCAACAAAGAATTCACTCCTACACTGGTATTCTAAGATCAAATGATTAGAACAAGTGAAACATGCCATTTTAAGGTGTTATTTTTCCCTAGTGGGTGTATACACATTATATTTGTTTTTGATTTTAAGCAAGTGGAATTTTCAAAAGATTGGCAAGTGTGCATCCAAGTTAGAAAGTTTTATTAGGGAACAAAATCAAAGTGAATTGATAGTGAAGTACAACTCGGATTAGGCGAGGTAAGAGGTACGACAAAAAAATATTGACCTGTCTTGAGCTTCAAAAAAACTGAAAGTTCTATTTCTGACTACTGTGCAGAATGACTATGTAAGCTATAGACAACCGTAACTGTATAGAGTCGCATTTAACTCTGCATATTCATGTTTTTCATATCAACTTGAAATATATATAACATTGAAATCAAAGATGTATAAAGATGTGCGAAATGGTAATTGTTGTGGTGTTCACATACTGCATGCTAAACATTATAACATGAATATAATGTTTGCATTACCCTCTAGAGACAAAATAACCCTTGAAAATGACATATTTTGAGTTGTTTTTTCAGATGAAATCATTAGACTTTAGAATATAGGAATAGTTTAGCAAGTTCGCTGGTTGAAAATACAAAATTTAAGGGTCCAAAAGCAGGAGTCTCTCTCCTAAATAGGGAGAGTTGGCAAGTATGTGTTCAGGGGTCACTGGTTGATCTAAGCTTGGCTCACATGGTGATTGTCTTCCACACACTAATCAAGGACAATCCTAGATTTGCACCTGATATTTGCTCATTGATATTCATTACTGCATGTTCTAATTTAAGGTGATAATGGGAGCTGATGGCAAAAGCAACACCAGGAGCAGTGATATCAATCTGGTGGACCTGGCAGGGTCAGAGAGGAGTTCGTCCACTGGTGCTACAGGGGACAGGCTGAGGGAAGGGTCGGCCATTAACCAGAGTCTGTCCACTCTAGGGAACGTCATCAGGTAGGGGACAGGGGGGGGACACTTTAACTCTAATCTGCCCTTTTTATCCATGATTTGATTAACTTGCCTCCCGTACCACTGCCCAAAACTGTAACTGTGCAGTGAAATCTGTTATTTCTGGCTCGGCTGTAGCTGTGATAAGTCATTTCTGAAAAGAAAACCATACCTTTCAGGACATTTAAAAAACAGAAAACACGATGAAATGAACAAAATATAATCAACAGCAGTGTTTTGAATGAACATAATGAGCAGTGCTAGATCATGATTCAAACCCTGGACCTCAAATAGTTATACTGTTGCTGTAACCAACTACGTTAGCCAATCATCAAAAGTGCACTGGCCCAATTACACTGCAGTTATATCCAAAATGAATTACTTTATATATAAAAAAAACAAAGTGGAATCTCAATTGTTTTGCCTACAGTGGGACAGAGATCCTGAAACTTTTCACTGATGATGTAGTCTTTAAACTTTTCACTGACGATGTAGTTTTTAAACATTTCACTGACGATGTAGTCTTTAAACTTTTCACTGACGATGTAGTCTTTAAACATTTCACTGACGATGAAGTTTTTAAACATTTCACTGACGATGTAGTCTTTAAACATTTCACTGACGATGTAGTCTTTAAACTTTTCANTCATGGTCAGTTACAGCCAGCACTGGGAGGCAACTAAGTTCCCCCCTCATGGTCAGTTACAGCCAGCACTGGGAGGCAACTAAGTTCCCCCCTCATGGTCAGTTACAGCCAGCACTGGGAGGCAACTAAGTTCCCCCCTCATGGTCAGTTACAGCCAGCACTGGGAGGCAACTAAGTTCCCCCCTCATGGTCAGTTACAGCCAGCACTGGGAGGCAACTAAGTTCCCCCCTCATGGTCAGTTACAGCCAGCACTGGGAGGCAACTAAGTTCCCCCCTCATGGTCAGTTACAGCCAGCACTGGGAGGCAACTAAGTTCCCCCCTCATGGTCAGTTACAGCCAGCACTGGGAGGCAACTAAGTTCCCCCCTCATGGTCAGTTACAGCCAGCACTGGGAGGCAACTAAGTTCCCCCCTCATGGTCAGTTACAGCCAGCACTGGGAGGCAACTAAGTTCCCCCCTCATGGTCAGTTACAGCCAGCACTGGGAGGCAACTAAGTTCCCCCTTCATGGTCAGTTACAGCCAGTACTGGGAGGCAACTAAGTTCCCCCCTCATGGTCAGTTACAGCCAGCACTGGGAGGCAACTAAGTTCACCCTCATTAGTAGTTAGTAGCAAAAATTGCACCATCACAGCAACAATAAGTAGTCAGGGGCAACAGTTGCACCATCACAGCAACAATTAGTAGTCAGGGGCAACAGTTGCACATCACAGCAACAATTAGTAGTTAGGGGCAACAGTTGCCACATCACAGTTAAAATAAGTAGTCAGGGGCAACAGTTGCATCATCACAGTTACAATAAGTAGTTAGGGGCAACAGTTGCACCATCACAGCAACAATTAGTAGTCAGGGGCAACAGTTGCACATCACAGCAACAATTAGTAGTTAGGGGCAACAGTTGCACCATCACAGTTACAATTAGTAGTTAGGGACAACAGTTGCACCATCATGTGATTTATTTTGGAAAACTGTGGAATAACTATGGTACAACAACATATTATATAAAGTGAATGTTCTGTTGTCACTAGGTCTGATCTAGGGTGACCTCATCTGACTCTTGTCTCCAATAAAGGACATACCCTTATTGACCTTACCAGTGAGAACTTGTCCCAATGTGATCACAAGTGCACATGTCCTTCCTTCTTCAACAATATGTCGAGGATACATCTTGTCTCATTTTCTACATTCCATTGCCTTGATTGGTAGACCCATGTGAAGACAGTTGCCTTGTTGTGATAAAATTTACAGTTAATTTATGGTTAATTCAACTCACCTGTTTCTATTTAACACTTATCTTCATAAGGAACACACATTTCATCTTGAAATTTTATTGGTCATTTCTGATAAAGGCAGTAATAAATTAATCCCATTATGAAACTAGATGACCTCCCGGCTAGGGTCAATCAAACACCCTCAGGTTTAGAGATTGTCCATTATTACTACACTGTCACCATTAGCTTAATAAACTGTAGTATGCTTTGTTACAAGTGACTATAAGATATTCTTTTAAGCAACTGTATACTGTTATCTTTTATAATGATATATATGGTATATGGTAGATGTTAGGTGTCTTTATTTTGCTTTCAAAACAACCACCGTATATAAGGAACAGTCTATTTTTGCTTTGTAATAGATTAACATATCCAGTTATTAGGGCCCCATATCGGAGATACGGGTGCCCTATAGTAATCACTCTGTCTGTCTGTCTGTCTGTCTGTCTGTCTGTCCGTNACAAAGTGGATCTCTGACTTTGACCCTGGCTCTTGATGGAGGAGGTATATAAGGTGAAATAAAACAAATCAAAGCTAACAAATGAGTATTGCACCGGTATTTACATTTCTGTTAGCCCAGCAAATATGGAGGTGGAAGGAAACAAGACTCACATCATAGTACATGTAAAATGTATATTTTGCTTCCTTGCGATTCTTTTTGAAGTCCAAATGTCAAACGTCAAGCTCAAATATATGGGCAGATTGCTTCTTGATGATTATTGGGGATATATTGCCACAAGACGGGGCCCTTACTGACCTGTCAGTGTTCTAGTTTTATGTAATTGCAAAACATGGATTTATAATAATAGGCCATTTATATTGAATAAAACTTAGCTCATAAATTTAATGAGCAAGTCTATACAAGGCCCATCATATTTTCTTGCTTGAGAAAAAAAATCCAGCTAACTTTTCATATGTAATCATGGATCTGCCCCAATTATCAACAATGGACATTGCAATACTAAATAAAATAGCTTGTTAGGGTGTATTAGTTAATTAATACATCAATATAATCTATTTTTATTACAGAGATACAAGTCTAAATCTGACATCAGATTTGGAACTCTCATACACAAACCAGAATCAGTTTAATGAAATTTGTGATTATCTTTATTATTAAGCTTATTAATTAGTCATCACTGTTCACAAAAAATAAATCATGCATCTGTTTATCGCAGTTATTGTTGCATTTTAAGAATAAATGTGTACATATTTCGGTGTTACAGATAGCGGCTCTAAGCCCAGCAGCTATGAACTACGACGAGACCCTTTCTACTCTCAGATACGCCGACAGGTGTGTATTCTATAGCTAACAAGGCTTATAGTTATCAGAGGAAACAGTTGTTAACTCATTAACCCCTGAAATTTCATAATGAACTATTCCAACCTTTGAATTGGAAGAGTTCAAATGCTTCTTTAGGGATGAATGAGTTAAATAAAAGTAAAGCATTTCGCTCGAAACTATATCGATGTTACAGTGACAAGTACCATATTTCTAGTTACAATGGTTGAGCTGCCATTAATACTACTTTTAATGTCTGAACCACTGCAGTTCAGTTAGGAAATCAATGTGCCTTTGTTTTTAGTACTAAAAAATTGTGTTCTGAACTATAATGTTTATATAAGATATTCCCTACTCATTAAAACTCTAATTAAACACTTCACATTTATGCCATGCTTACTGTTCTAGTTTATTTTGGGGTTTAAAGGTCAAGGCCAGTGTGACATGGTACTTTGACAGTGTAACTGTCAAAGTCAATGGCAACCAAGCATGATTGGCTGTTTCTTGAAATATTTTCTTCATGTTGAAAAGTATAAATACACAGCATTGAGTTGTTTTACTCATAACTACATAGCTAAGTGGTGGAGGTGTCGTATAACCATATACGTTTCATCAACTTGACCTATTAGTTTCATCAACTTGACCTATTAGTTTCATCAACTTGACCTATTAGTTTCATCAACTTGACCTATTAGTTTCATCAACTTGACCTATTAGTTTCATCAACTTGACCTATTAGTTTCATCAACTTGACCTATTAGTTTCATCAACTTGACCTATTAGTTTCATCAACTTGACCTATTAGTTTCATCAACTTGACCTATTAGTTTCATCAACTTGACCTATTAGTTTCATCAACTTGACCTATTAGTTTCATCAACTTGACCTATTAGTTTCATCAACTTGACCTATTAGTTTCATCAACTTGACCTATTAGTTTCATCAAGTTGGTACTGCTTTGTTGATGAAACAATTCATTGTTGTATCAAATGCATTTTCATAAGATTCGAAAGGCTGAAGTTTGACTGTTAACTTTAATTAGGACAAAAGTGGAATGAGTGGGTATTAGCCAAAGGCTAACATGTCTATAGATATTTCTACAATCTTTCTTTAAAACTAAGAATCAAAATACTCTCGCTTTAATTCTTGGTTGGTTGGGTGATGGGTTTTTTGCCTACATGATTCCACCCATGCAGGTTTCATCTCACTGTCGGAACGTCGGTATTCTGTCTGCGTTCGCTTTAATTCATAATTATCGATCTTATATACTCCAATTTCTACATGTGCTGTTGCAGGGCTTGACATTAAACATATACTGTTGTAGGGCCAAAAGAATTCAGAATAAGGCTGTGGTGAATGAGAGTCCCACAGAGAGGCTGATCCGTGAGCTGAAGGAGGAGAATGCAAAGCTCTTGGCTTTGTTGTCTAAAGAGGGTAGCGGCGGGCCAGACACCTCGGAAGGTATTTCTCATTACAAACGCTTAAAGTGGAAATGCCGTGTAAAAGAAATGGAAACATGCCTCTCTTACATTGCATTGCCATTAGATTAATATTTGTAGATAAATAAAACTATCCAGATAATTGAAAAAAATATTGCTGTCTTTTTAGACAATTTTTTAATACATTAAAACTGTAAATGTCAATTTTATGGGGAAAATGGGTAGGAAATGATGTATATAGTAATTTATTGCCAGTTTTTTGAATGCTTGTATAGGAATACATTTGTCAGGTTTAAACAGAGCATTCATTGCTTAAGATAGTTTTTGTTTAAAACTTGTTATCCTGTTTACAATGCCTTAAGAATATAAAATGCTGATGTTTTGTATTGAATGTATTTGCTTCTACAAAGGGACCAGTCGGTCTTTAAATGTTGCATCATGTTTGATACGTACATTGTTTGTGTATAAAGTAAAACTTTGATATAATTGCTTCTAGTTTAAACATATTGATATTTTTTTTTGTTAATTTTAAAAACAAGTCTGATATATTGTATGTTATGCTAAAGTTACCAGTCAGGAGGACAAGTATGCAGATACTGAAAAAACTGGTGAAAATTGTGTTTTGTTGTGCATGACTACTGACAGTGATGAAACTGTGGTCTGGAATGTGCCTGACACCTACAAATGTATCTGATGTTGTTGTGTGACTATAGACAACAGAGACATCACTAAATCTGAAAGGATTAATATCGTAAATGCAGTCTAAACTACAAAATTCAGCAAACCATATCTGTGATGTGCTCACGTAGCCAGTGATTATCAAAAGCATGTTTTATTTGATGGTTATGACTGGAATGTTTGTATTTCCTGCCTCATCATGTCTGTTTTTTGGCTCTATACTGAAATTTCTGTTCACTTCCGGCAACATGTGTTTGTACTTGATTCCGTCATTATAACACCTTGTGTCACTTCTGTCAATATCTAGGTATTGGTACTCTAATAAGGGGTCATGCTTCAATGACCTATTCTTCAGTCAATCAGTAAAGCATGACAGATGTTGGTGCTATATAATTATATAAACTCCATAGTTTTTAATGTTTGATGAAAAGTCATCAGAATATGACATCAGACAGAAGATGATCGCTGAGGAGGAAAGAAGTGATTTTGCATAATTGGATATGATTTATTTGAGTACCAGATTTATATTGATATGTTCGTATTATATACTCTATGAAGATCAGAATTGATTGTATAAGACATTAGCTGTATAGGTTAGTTGGTTTGGGTTATACATTATTGTACTTTAAAGTGCCATTTCACTTATAGTTTAATAAGCTGGGTATCTAACAAACTAATTTCATAAATGCTTTCTACATAGTCATTTGAAATTGTCTTCAGAATTTCTCAAATGTATTTGACCGAAAACACAATAACATTTAGGGAGGCACGGTAGTCTAGTGGTAGAACACCGGGCTCGTGACCGAAGGCACGGCACTGTCTTGTATCTTTGAGCAAGATACTTTACTTCAATTGTTCAAGTCTACTCAGCTGTAACTGAGTACGTGGTTGGGCAGTGCTAGAATTGTAGAATGCCTGGGAGTTGAGAAAGATATTGGCTGGTTGCAAAGGCCCTATAACATGGATACTAATTTGTGCACCGCTTTGAGACGACCTACGAACTAGGGTTGTGATAAAGCGGTAAATAAGAACCTCAAATTACTATTATTTTTTTCAAGCCTCGTTTCCATGTACAACGTGGAGGTGAATTTGTAGAATAAGATAGCTGACTTGCATAATGATGAAGCAATTAACATGATATTCGCCAATTTTACATTTGCCTATACCTATATTGAAACAATATCACGTTAGCCTTTGCCTTTAATGAAGTAACTTCCTATAAGATGTGATCCCTGGTTTGTTGTAGGTCGGAGAGGTATGTTACCAGAGGACTGTATATGCCAGACTTACATGTTAATCACCTATGTCTCTCCACATTTACTGTAAATCACAAGGGTCCCTATAGTTGTTCAAAGTCTGTTTAGCTTTCACAGAAATTTCATTCATTTGTTTTACCCAACACATTTTCAAATATATTGTTATTGATGTAAAAAAAAATCATAAAACAGAAATTGAAAATGATCAATTGATGACAAAGTAATAAAAAAAACATTTGAAAACATACGTATCAATTTAAGAATTTGAATTAATGTCTTGTTAAGCTGACAAAACATTTAAGTAACTAGGCTACATTCCCAGTGGTACAAAGCCTTGTCAGTTTAACATGTATTTTCAAACGTAAAAAAAATATCTTTTTTCCCTTTTGAAAGATTACAAGTCTTTGTGCAGTATTGATATTGTCGAATTAGAATTCTGAAATCTGTTAAAAAGAACAAATACTGCTAATTGAATGCTGAAAAGCTAATGAAAGTTTGAACAACTTGGGCTCAGATTAGCTTTTGCTGTGTTTTACCTGAGATAAGCCCTAATAGTCCGGCAGATTGGTGAATAATTGTGGGATCTTTAGTAGAAGCATGAAACTTAGCATGAATGAAGGAAGTGGTGTACTGATAAATTTTGGATATGGGGCCAAGCAGAATTTTTTCAAGATGGCCGCCAAATCCAAGATGGCCGCCATTTTTGATATTTTAGTAATACATGTGGTATTACATCGTTATTGTAAATGATATAGGTTCAAAAGTGAAATCTACAACATCAGGCATTAATCTAAATATCTTCCCACGATTTTGTACATTATTGATGCCATTNATTTTAATTTTTGCTTCTTTCAACGAATATGTTAGGGCCATTTTGAATGCAGTGAGCACAATTGATTTGATTTTAAATGTTCATCAAGTATCAAAATAATGTTCAATACACACACTGTCATACATATATACTTATCATAACGAGAAATGAATTTATCTTAAAATTAATAAAATTGAGCTGAGGAAATATGTTTTTATGCAAGTTTTGAAAAATTCTTCTGCCATCTTAAAATGGTGGCCATCACCATTCTTTTAAAGGCAATATATAAGTCTAGCTTTGTTTACATGATTGTCTGCTCATACATAAACAAGATAATAATTATTGTGTAAAAAAATGTAAGAAACTACAAAAATATACTTACAAATGAGTATACAAATGTACGTATGGAATTGTTAAATTTAACATATATTTGGCGGCCATCTTGGAATTGGTGGCCATCTTATTTTTGGTGGCCATCTTGAAAGAAAAAGATTGGCCCCATAGCCTAAATTGATCAGTATATAATTCTCAACCAGTATGCCAAGTTTTATGCTTTATCCTAAAATCCACGATTTTCCTGATTTTTGCACCATTCTCGGCAAATATTTGGCGACCATCTTGGATTTGGTGGCCATCTTGATTTTTTTTTTATTGGCCCCATATCCAAAATTGATCAGTATATCATTCCCTACATGCATACCAATTGGTATGCTTCTACTATAAAACCCACAATTCTTCTGATTTCTGCACCAATCTGCCGGACTATAAGAGGAAGGGGATGTAACTTATTTACCATACATTTACAAGAATGGCATATTTCTGGATCTGTGAAATATGGGAGGGTTCCATGGCCTCTAACATGCCATGGGCTTATCACAAGTAGCCTGCAGTATACACTTGATTTATGCTGTCAGTATTTCAAAAGTAATTGCGGGAGATATCGCCTCTGTTTATTCACATAAGGTCTTTAATTACTCAGATATTCTAAAGGATGTAGTACTGAGAAGGTTGTCTCCCCTTGAATGGTGTTGCTAGGTGAGGTTAGTTGTGTAATTTGTAGTGACTTTGTGTGGTCTTACAAGAATATATTCATGTGCGCTACAGGAACATTTAGACATCAGTACATGTAATGGTCAATAACAGGTCATGTTTTCAGTTAAAGTGTTTTCATGGTTTTGTTTGTAAACTGAAATTACAAATGCTTTGACTTGAATTAATGAATTATTGAATAAAGTTCATCATCTAAATTTAAACACTCCTTTTTGAGGAATCGTGTAGTTACATTGCTTATATCCCAACACAAACACGTTTTATTGATGGCAAAGATTTAGTATTGAAGACTGAACTTCAGTGTTTGTCCACCTCAAGTAATATAGTTAGGAAGTGTTCAAACAAATTGTAGTGGTAGAGAATTATCATGTAATATAAAACCTTATTTTGTCTCTTTTGTCGCTGATTTGTATTTTGTTATCTATTTGAGTCATGACTCAGTATTGTTTAAACCAAGGGTACTTCAGATACAAAGTAATTTATCAAGAATTCTTGTACAGTGAAAAAAAGGGTCTGCAAATTAACTTTACAATAGTTGATCAGACAAAGAGTACTTTATTTCCTTGTGGTATCCATTGTTAAACCTATAAAAATAGATATCTAATATTTCGAAATCCTCGTTCTCAGCCTGTAGTGTTGATTGTAGCTAGTCTAGTATACCATGTGAATTGCATTGCCCCGACAAAATTTCTATTATAATTCTTCATCAATTAGTTTTAAAGTTTGATAAAATAATTTTCATTAGTTTAAACAAATGTAATATTGAAAGTTGAAATCCTTAAAAGCATTCTCTTATATTTTATTTTTATTTGTTTCCATAAATTCCCAGATATCAGAGATTTAAGATGTACAACTATCATCTGATATCTTTCCTGTGACTAAACCCTCTGGTCTTAATATTAATGATTAAGACTAAAGTCAAGGTCATTTCAAGGTGGTTTGGTGTCTGACATGTAATTCTAAGAAAGACTATTCTATTCTCACTACTTCTGTGTTGTCACTCTCACTGTTAATTACATTTCCCAAGTATAACTTTATGATCGTTTAGTCCAAAACTGCTATAAAGCTGAAGTGTTTTACTAAAAGAATGTTTAATGTGTTATTAAACAGTCATTTTACCTTGCATCTGATAAAAATGAACATTTATCTAAATATTTATTTTTTAACTTTTATATACTGGCATTTGTTTCTCTTGAAGAAGACCTTGTAAATCAAACGAGTAAATGCAATTTTGTGAAACTGATTCTTCTTTCATAAAAAAAACCAATAGACTTGCATCAAAGCACATTTCCACATATTGTTTTTGATCACGTTTCAATTTTTCCATCATTGAGTTTCATCAAAGATTGGTTCGCTACATGATTCTGTATCAAAAAGTGAAACTCCTAATTGAATGCATGAAAGAATAAAATAGAATAAAATAAAAAGAAGAAATAAAAGATGAAAAAGAAACATTTTTTTTTGAATTATGTAAGAAAATCATTCTATTGCATATTTGCCCCATTCTTATGAAGTATAGTCATGATCAAGTGAAATTGATGATGGTGAAATACAAATTTTTCTTCTCCATTTTCCAGAGGTGCATGATGCATCAATTGAATTTAATACCTGTCTAATTTATGTTTCTAAAAATGTCATCAGCATTGGTGACTGTGATAATAGTCTAATTGCCTTGATTTTACTTGGAACAGAACTACAGAGAATGTTACAGGAAAATGAGCGCCGGATGAAAAACATGAACCTGTCATGGGAACAGCGACTAGAGCAAGCAAGGTCTGTACTAGGTTTTCCTTTCATCATGTCCAGCTTGTTTACTTTTCACGAGGCTGGAAAACTTGTGGCTGAAGTGTGATACATGTATAACAAATTCTGCATCTGTTTTTCTATTATGTTATAACTACCAATCAGAACCTATGACCCCAAAGATAGAAGTGAATTATAACTGATTACCATATTCCACTTAGTAAGGTCCCCAATCCCGACTTAAGCACACACTCCATGCTCCCTTTTTCTGATCCGAGCTTCACATCTCTTCATCATAATTTACCAACTTATTTGAAATTTTTAAAAAGAGTCTATTATGGTTGTTTTGGAGAATGTTTGGAGGTTCTAAATTCTTTGTAATTTTCCCAAATTGGTTAAGGCAACTAGAGTGGTAGAAAAGGATAACGAAGTTAGGTTGTGCTTTGTTCAGATCAAGGTCATTTACTTACTAATAGGGATTGCTTTCTCTAATATTTGATAGATACAGCAGTAGAATAACCTCCCTATGAAATGTGGCATAGTACTTCACACAGATATATCATTTATCACAAACTGCCATAAGAGAATACATTTACAGTCTTTATATCAAACCTTAATGACACTATAACTGTAGCAGAAAGAAAATTTAGGGTTTTCAAAATAGCTTGACAAATTAGTCTACAATCTTTGACATTAAATTTCACAGGTACCTTCCCTTCAGTTGAATATATCTTGTGATTTCAATGTCCTATGGTCTCGCTGTGTCAAATTTCACTTACTAAAAATATGATTTTGATTTCTACTCAGTGTCATAATACTTTACAGACACTTTTTTTTATTTGAACATCTTTCTTTGAACTGTACGTGAGGTCATTAGGTCAACGTCACCAATACATGTCAGATTGTTTCCACTTGGTATTTTGAGAACGACTATATGCCCTTAGCTGTTGCAAATCCACAAACAAGCATTTTTTGATAATATTCATTACACTACTGGTCTCAAAGTCTCGGATAGAATTGCGTGGTTTCTAGTTCATAACTTACGAAGTAATTTGTGTTTTGCTGTAAACTATAACACTTATCTATTGTTTGTCCTTAACGTCTACAGAAAGGAGTGGGAGAAATCTGTCAGTGGTGGCGACGACCAAAAAAAACAGGAGTTTGAAAACAAACCTTACATAACCAATATCAATGAGGATCCTCAGCTATCTGGCATAATCAAACACTGCTTCAATAAAGGTATCTTTTACACAATGCCTCAAAAAACACAACTAACACAGAACTTATATTACAAACACTGCTTCGATAAACACAACCTATACACGATGTATCAAACTTATAGCACAAACAAAACTATAACACTTATCTATTGTTTATCCTTAACGTCTACAGAAAGGAGTGGGAGAAATCTGTCAGTGGTGGCGACGACCAAAAAAACAGGAGTTTGAAAACAATCCTTACATAACCAATATCAATAAGGATCCTCAGCTATCTGGCATAATAAAACCCTGCTTCAATAAAGGTATCTTTTACACAATGCTTCAAAAAACACAACTAACACAGAACTTATATTACAAACACTGCTTAAATAAACACAACCTATATACAATGTATCTATTTTATAGCACAAACACTACTTCAACAAACACAACCTTTACACAATGTATCAAGCGTATATTATAAGCACTGCTTCAATAGACACAACCTATACACGATGTATCAAACTTATAGCACATTAAACACTGCTTCAATAGACACAACCTATACACGATGTATCAAACTTATAGCACAAACAAAACTATAACACTTATCTATTGTTTGTCCTTAACGTCTACAGAAAGGAGTGGGAGAAATCTGTCAGTGGCGGCGACGACCAAAAAAAACAGGAGTTTGAAAACAAACCTTACATAACGAATATCAATGAGGATCCTCAGCTATCCGGCCTAATCAAACACTGCTTCAATAAAGGTATCTTATACACCATGTATCAAACTTATAGCACATTAAACACTGCTTCAATAAAGGTATCTTTTGCACAATGCTTCAAAAAACACAACTAACACAGAACTTATATTACAAACACTGCTTCGATAAACACAACCTATATACAATGTATCTATTTTATAGCACAAACACTGCCTCAATAAACACAACCTATACACCATGTATCAAACTTATAGCACAAACTCTGCTTCAACAAACACCACCTAGACACAATGTATCAAACATATATTACAAACACTGTTTCAATAAACACAACTTACACAGAATGTATCAAACTTATAGCACATTAAACACTGCTTCAATAGACACAACCTATACACCATGTATCATAGTTGTAGTCCAAACCCTGCTTCAACAAACACCACCTAGACACAATGTATCAAACATATATTACAAACACTGCTTCGATAAACACAACCTATATACAATGTATCTATTTTATAGCACAAACACTGCTGCAACAAACACAACCTTTACACAATGTATCAAACATATATTACAAACACTGCTTCAACAAAAACAACCTATACACAATGCATCAAACTTATATTACAATATATCAAACTTATATTATAAACACTGCTTCAATAAGGTATCTTATATACAGTGTATCAAACCTATACTCCAAATACTGCAAAAACAATTTCTGTACAATGTATCATACAGTTCTTATATTACAAACACTCCTTCAATAAACACAACTTACACAGAATGTATCAAACTTATAGCACAAATACTGCTTAAACAAATACAACCTATACACAATGCATCAAACTTATATTACAAACACTGCTTCGATAAACACAACCTATATACAATGTATCTATTTTATAGCACAAACACTGCTTCAATAACACAACCTATACACGATGTATCAAACTTATAGCACAAACACTGCTTCAATAAAGGTATCTTATACACCATGTATCATAGTTGTAGTCCAAACCCTGCTTCAACAAACACATCCTATACACAATGTATCAAACATATATTACAAACACTGCTCCAACAAACACAACCTATACACGATGTATCAAACTTATAGCACAAACCCTGCTTCAACAAACACAACCTATACTCAATGTATCAAGCGTATATTATAAGCACTGCTTCAATAGACACAACCTATACACGATGTATCAAACTTATAGCACAAACAAAACTATAACACTTATCTATTGTTTATCCTTAACGTCTACAGAAAGGAGTGGGAGAAATCTGTCAGTGGCGGCGACGACCAAAAAAAACAGGAGTTTGAAAACAAACCTTACATAACCAATATCAATAAGGATCCTCAGCTATCTGGCATAATAAAACCCTGCTTCAATAAAGGTATCTTTTACACAATGCTTCAAAAAACACAACTAACACAGAACTTATATTACAAACCCTGCTTCAACAAACACCACCTAGACACAATGTATCAAACATATATTACAAACACTGCTTAAATAAACACAACCTATATACAATGTATCTATTTTATAGCACAAACACTGCTGCAACAAACACAACCTATACTCAATGTATCAAGCGTATATTATAAGCACTGCTTCAATAGACACAACCTATACACGATGTATCAAACTTATGGCACAAACACTGCTTCAATAAAGGTATCTTATACACCATGTATCATAGTTGTAGTCCAAACCCTGCTTCAATAAAGGTATCTTTTACACAATGCCTCAAAAAACACAACTAACACAGAACTTATATTACAAACTCTGCTTCAACAAACACCACCTAGACACAATGTATCAAACATATATTACAAACACTCCTTCAATAAACACAACTTACACAGAATGTATCAAACTTATAGCACAAATACTGCTTAAACAAATACAACCTATACACAATGTATCAAACTTATATTACAAACACTGCTTCAACAAACATAACTTACACAGAATGTATCAAACTTATAGCACAAACACTGCTTCAACAAACACAACCTATACACAATGTATCAAACTTATATTACAAACACTGCTTCAATAAACACAACCTATACACAATGTATCAAACTTATAGCACAAACACTGCTTCAACAAACACAACCTATACACAATGTATCNCACTGCTTCAATAGACACAACCTATACACAATGTATCAAACTTATATTATAAACACTGCTTCAATAGACACAACCTATACACAATGTATCAAACTTATATTACAAACACTGCTTCAATAAAGGTATCTTATACACGATGTATCATAGTTGTAGTCCAAATACAATGCTTCAACAAACACAACCTATACAAAATTTATCAAATTTATATTACAAACACTGCTTCAATAAAGGTATCTTATACACCATGTATCATAGTTGTAGTCCAAACACTGCTTCAATAAGGTATCTTATATACAATGCTTCAACAAACACAACCTATACAAAATTTATCAAACTTATATTATAAACACTGCTTCAATAAACACAACCTATACACAATGTATCAAACTTATATTATAAACACTGCTTCAATAGACACAACCTATACACAATGTATCAAACTTATATTACAAACACTGCTTCAATAAAGATATCTTATACATGATGTATCATAGTTGTAGTCCAAACACTGCTTCAATAAGGTATCTTATATACAATGCTTCAACAAACACAACCTATACACAATTTATCAAACTTATATTATAAACACTGCTTCAATAAGTTATCTTATAGACAATGCTTCAACAAACACAACCTATACACAATGTATCAAACTTATATTATAAACACTGCTTCAGTAAAGGTATCTATACACGATGTATCATAGTTGTAGTCCAAACACTGCTTCAATAAGGTATCTTATATACAGTGTATCAAACCTATACTCCAAATACTGCAAAAAACAACTTCTGTACAATGTATCATATAGTTCTTATATTACAAACACTGCTTCAGCAAACACAACTAATTCACAATATATCAAGCTTACAATTGAAATACTTCTTCAATAATGTACATGTTCTTGTACACATACATGTATGTGTCAAATGTCCACAAAACAATATGGTAGTGTATGGAATATGTGCAAAATTGTGGCAACTCAACTTTTGTTGTATTTTTAGGAAAGACAGTGATAGGAAGAACGAAAGCAGGAGATGACAATGTCCAACTCCGAGGTCTAGGGTAAGGTCGGATATTATGATAAGAGGGTTCAGACTTTGTAGTGTTCAGATCTAGGGTTTAGGTAATGTCCAATAATGTTATAAGAGGGTTCAGACTTTGTAATGTTCAGATCTAGGGTTTAGGTAATATCTAATATTGTTATAAGAGGGTTCAGACTTTGTAATGTTCTGATCTTGGGTTTAGGTAATGTCCAATAATGTTATAAGAGGGTTCAGACTTTGTAATGTTCAGATCTAGGGTTTAGGTAATATCCAATATTGTTATAAGAGGGTTCAGACTTTGTAATGTTCTGATCTAGGGTTTAGGTAATGTCCAATATTGTTATAAGAGGGTTCAGACTTTGTAATGTTCTGATCTAGGGTTTAGGTAATATCCAATATTGTTATAAGAGGGTTCAGACTTTGGGTTTAGGTAATATCCAATATTGTTATAAGAGGGTTCAGACTTTGGGTTTAGGTAATATCCAATATTGTTATAAGAGGGTTCAGACTTTGGGTTTAGGTAATATCCAATATTGTTATAAGAGGGTTCAGACTTTGTTATGTTCAGATCTAGGGTTTAGGTAATATCCAACATTGTTATCAGAGTGTTCAGACTTGTTCCTGTTCAGATCTGGGATCTAGTGTAAGATCTGAGATTGTGATAATTGAGTTCAGTCTTGCATGATCTATTATCAAATAATTGACGGCTGTTAATTTGAAGAGAAAAGGAAAATATCATTGACTGGCAATATGCTGTTGTGGAGAAAAGGTTAATACCTTTGATTGGGGTTGTGGTCTATAAAAAAGGCACACATTGAGTTCAATAAGTACGAGCGAGAAAAAAGCCATGTACATTCATCGAATAATAACTTTATGAGGGTATCCAATTAATATGTGTGATTTGATCTTAACATTTATTAAAAACTTAAGTTTTTTAATTCGCTCAGAAATATATTTACCATTCCTTTCTTGTCCCTTTTTAATGTAAGTTGCAGTCAAAGTTTCATTACAATGTAGACAACTTATATGTCTTATTTTTTGATAATTAGTTTTCTTGTTACTCTAGCTGCTTATTGAAAAATAATTAAAGTTGGAACCATTGCCTATCTTTTATCTAGCATACAACCAAAACATGCCATCATTTACCACACCGGCTCAAAACTATATATTGAACCAGCAGAGAAATCAGCACTGGTGTTCGTGTCAGGTCACAGGATCAGGGAAAAGTCATGTCTCGGTCACCTGGTAAGTCTCAAGGTCAAATTGTCATCTGGTAAGTCCCAAGGTCAAATTGTCTTCTGGTAAGTCCCAAGGTCAAAATGTCATCTGGTTAGTCTCAAGGTCAAATTGTCATCTGGTTAGTCCCAAGGTCAAAGTGTCATCTGGTAAGTCCCAAGGTCAAAGTGTCATCTGGTAAGTCCCAAGGTCACAGTGTCTTAATCACCTCCCAAATTCCAAGGTCACAGGATCTCCTTGTATGTCCCTAGTGACATGATCTCTATCACCCTCATTAATCCTGAGGTCACATGGTCTATATCACCTGACAAGCTCCATAGTTAATGTTATAGGGTCTTTATAACTGGGTTCATTCCAATGTAACTGGCAAGGAAAACTACTGTCTTTGTTCCACCAAATCTTACCTGTCACTGTCTGTTTGATGCGTATGTAAGATCACAGTGATTTTCAGGTTGTAGGCGAAGAAGTTAGTTAATTAAGACAAACTTGGCAAGAAAGAAATTTTTAGCAAAGTTCTGGTGTATTCAGTCCAAAATAAATATGTTTTGGTAAACAAATTTGCTACTTTAAAAAGCTATTTCATTTGAAGTTAACATAATATTTGTGATGCAGTTTTATCATTATACTTGAAACTTGTGTACAAGTAACTTTTCATAATATTTTGTAATTATTGTAATTACAGGACCGTATCCGGCTTGGTTCATCCTGCCTGTTCTTGTATGTTGGCTTACATGAGGAGCGGTCCTCTAGTGACCAGGTGGACCAGTATAACTATGATTACTTCATGATGGAACTGGCCGAGCATGAGGGAGTTACTGTGGACCTGCATACTCCCCGCGCCAATGAGGCTGTCGACCAGGCGTCCACTGGGCGTGCCCTAGAGGAGTATGTAAGGCTATTGCCACTTATATCTGAAGCCAATGCCATCAGTGAGGAGTTATCAAAGGTAAGGGGAGATAATTCTTGTCTACCCAAGTACTTTAACCGCTATTAGGCTGAATATATATCTTTTAATGGTCTTTAAATTTGTTAGTATATACATTTCAGTTTTTAATTAGCAGAAAATAAATCTTTGTCGCAATATTTGATCTTCTGAATTCTATGCCCAGTTTTTATTATAACCTGATTCGACCTAATAAATGCAGCATAAAAATTAATTGTTTTAGTGTTGAGTTACTCGCTATTGTATCCTGTTGTCTTTGTTTATGTTTTAGGTATATGATGTTTGTATATTTTAGGATATACTTGATAATATTTGCGGTGTATTGGAGTATGTGATGATTGTATGTTTCAGACTGCCCATTTTGATGCAGAGATCAAAAGTGAAGCCAGTCACGACCCTATGGGTAAAGCATCAGGTCGAGAGGTCATCGTTAGAGTAACTGATACTAAGACAAAGAAGGTAGGAACCATTTGTTTGTTTGTTTGTGTTTAACGGCCCATCGACGGCTGTGGTCATTGAGGGCCATGGTGATTGATTTATTCATTTATTTCATATATGAATCACTCAGGCGAATCATGAGTCTAAAATAGTACATTTGTATAAAGTTATACCAAGTTTGAGGGTTATGTATTGAGGAGGAAGTAATTCATCAAGGCCCAAATCGGGGTAAAGTTTTGTGAATTAACAAATAATAAAACTAATTATAATTAGCCTATAGTATTATGGTACATTGTTATATGTAAAACTGGACTTATATAAATAAATATATATATATATAATCACTTGTGAAACATTGCTGTCTAGATCTGGATGTGGTCCTGCGACAAGTTCCTGCACAGGAAAGACTTGATGGATGACCTCTACAGCCAATTTATTGACGACAGTTCCCTCAATGTGCCCAAAGAGAAAGACCCGTTCTGGGATCCAGTGGAGGACATTTTCCTTGGAAGGTAGACAACTCTTCACTTTCTCACAGTTTGTGTATTTTCCTTGTAATCCACGAAAACCCTAAATCAAAAACTTACAGAAAAGGATAAAAATTGGGAGTGATGACTTAATTTGACTTGTTATGTCCAAAAGACCAATGTCTCCATAAATTTAACATTATTACGATCCCTCAGTGTTTCACAGTTCATAAGCTTTGTCTCATGTCTAATATGATAGTCACTTTGTTGGTAACTTAACATTGCTTGCCCACAGTTGCCACATTCTGCTCCAAAGTCTGTCGTATGGTCTAGAGGTAGATGAGCACTTCACCCTCCACAACTACCATGGGAAGGAGGAGGGGGTCATGCACGTCCAGCTGCTCCCGTGTGATGCTAAAGGTCGGCTCCTCAGTGAGGATGATAGCATCTATGAACCAGCAGAATTACTGGGCCAGTCATTCCATCTGTCGGTTCTCCTGAACCAGTACATGGGGGTACGCTGGAACAAGGAAGACAGAAGTAGAGGCGTTTACTGCAGGTCATTTGACTTTTTTGACAAATTCAATTATTACAATTTATTTTTTAAATAAATCTTAAATTCCACTTGAACAGATTGGTTTTCAGGTTAAAACAGTTGACTGTATTTGGAGTTGCAATGCAAATTTTACCTATTTAAGATTTATTTGACCTTGGAGAAAGGCTGGTATATTTGTTCTTAATAAAATACTCATCTGTTTCTTTCGAATTTATCCAAACTTTGAAAACAATTATTTGTCAAAAAAACACACACAAAATTTTGTCTTTCATTTGTATTGGAATACAACACATACAATTAACAAAGTAAACAACTTGTTCTACATATGTTGTTTTCAAATATATGCTCCTAGCAAGTACATTTAATAAAAGCTATATATCAGGCTCCGGTTTCATGAACTCAACTTAATGTTCTTACAATCCACTTCCTTTTTTTTTGACATGAAAACATCAATCCGTTTTGGTACAAACTTTCCAATTACATCTATAACGTGGAAACATATTTCTTGTATCTGGCACAGGGTTTTTTTCAGATTACAATCTTGATATGAAAACATTTATCTGTTTACCAGGTACAAATTCTTTGACAGCAAGGTGTTAATCACAGACACGCTGTGGGGTAGGAGCTCTGCAGAAGTTGACTACAGAAAGGACTTTGTATACAGAAAGTTTACAGAAGACTTCCTTAATTATCTCACTTCACAGTCTCTGGTCCTAGAACTCTGGGGCAAACAAGGTAAGCTTATCCTCCTCATTGAATGGATACTCAGTACAGGACAATTATGGGGCAATATTGAGATATTAACTCATTCAACCCTGAAATTTCATAATGAACTATTCAAACCTTAGAATTTTGAAGAGTTCAAATGTGTCTTCAGGGTTAAATGGGTTAAAGTTTCAGAACCAAGTGTAATGAAAATGTCATAAGTTATGTAGCGATACTTTAGTGGGAAGGGACTGGATGGACATTTTGGAATAATTATTCTCACTTATTTTCCGAGCTTGTTTCTTATATTTTGTAACATTCAAGCTCAACCCAAAAATTTCAGGTTTTGTGGTAATGTTTAAGGAAAACAAAATAAAAAATATTAATACATGAAACAATAATGTGACATTAAATTTATCTTTTTTCAAAAAAAGGAAAAATATATCTGTTTTTTCTAGTATCTCAAAGTGTTATTTGTATGTTTTGCTAATTTACATCAAAACTTATCAAATTTGATTAGAATAAATGATAGAAGTTTTCTTGATGACAACAGGTGGGGATAAAGGTATGTATTAGGTGCTGTGCATGTAGAATTATAATGCTACAAAATCGGGTGACTTTTGCTTCAGGCAGTCGTTGTTAAAGATGCTTTCAGCTTAAACAGTTTATTGAAGTTTTCTGTTGCTTACATCTTTTGACAGATTTTTTTTACAACTACATGTACGCTTTTGACAATGAAATGCTATTGTTTAAGAGTTTGCATTTCTCATCAACATTCCTATTCATCACCAAATAGTTTTCAGTGTCATTATATGGGGGTTAAACATAAATATGTATTGATAACTTGGTGATATATGCACAAAAACTACATTTTCAACAGGGTTATCTGGTAACATATGTCCTGTATAAACACAGGTTAAATTATAAACAGGGTTATCTGGTAACATATGTCCTCTATAAACACAGGTTAAATTATAAACAGGGGTATCTGGTAATATATGTCCCGTATAAACACAGGTTAAATTATCAACAGGGTTATCTGGTAGTATAAACAAAGGTTAAATTATAAACAGGGCTATCTGGTAACATATGTCCTGCATAAACACAGGTTAAATTATAAACAGGGCTATCTGGTAACATATGTCCTGCATAAACACAGGTTAAATTATCAACAGGGTTATCTGGTAGTATAAACAAAGGTTAAATTATAAACAGGGTTATCTGGTAATATATGTTCTGTATAAACACAGGTTAAATTATAAACAGGGTTATCTGTTAATATATGTCCTGTATAAACACAGGTTAAATTATAAATAGGGTTATCTGGTAATAAGTATACTCCATACATTTTGGTTAATGTTATTATCAGGGCTATCTGGTAAAACATATACTGCATAAACCCAGGTTAGGTTACTACATGTACTAGGGTTATCTGTTAAAAGGTATACTTTATAACACAGGCTACACTCTTATCAGGGTAATCTGGTAAAGCATGTACTGTATCAACACAAGCTACATTCTTATCAGGTAATCTGGTAATAGGTATACTTTATAACACAGGCTACACTCTTATCAGGGTAATCTGGTAAAGCATGTACTGTATCAACACAGGCTACATTCTTATCAGGGTAATCTGGTAATAGGTATACTTTATAACACAGGCTACACTCTAATCAGGGTAATCTGGTAGAGCATGTACTGTATTAACACAGGGTATATTATTAATAGGGTTAGCTCGTAATAATACATAAACCATTTTTAAGTAAATTTCAAGGGTAATGTTCTCAACACTCTCTTCACCACTGATATATGTCTTGACAAAATCAAAGGCTCCTTATGTTCCACCCTGTGGATGATACAAGTAGACTATTTGAAAACATCAAAAGAATCTCACAGCAGCATAATGGTAAAATTGACTGGCTTTGAAGTTGAATGTCACCCTCTGTAATCTTCAAAGGACAGTTATCGGCCTAGTAATTAGTTAGGTTTTTTTTCACCTGAAACCATTCAAATAACTAGCTGTGTGCCTTTGATTTTGTCCTGACATACTCCAGGGGTGCAGAGAACGTAAATGAGCATAACCCCTGGAATTTCAAGGATGGGGAAGAGATGAGATGCTCGAGGATATTCTTAGCAATATCATTATAATCTGGTTGAGTGGGCAAATATCACAGAGTACTCACTTTATCATGTAGTGCAGTGATATTTACAGGGTTAGTCTCTGACAAAATGACTATTGTAACAATGTCTTGACTTTTGGTAATAAAGCACATGGAGAAGTAGCAGTTTACAGCTTGAATTTTAAAACCTTTCATATTTAGAATTTTGTTTTGATTTATATCATATCTTATTTACGTGCATCAATTCAAATACATAAGTTGCTTTCCAAAATATGATGTCGTCACTTTGTTTTCTCCATACTATAATTATGATGACTTTTTCAAGTAGATCGAAGACATTTACTGTTTTTAAACAAAACAAATCTGAATAAAACACCCGAGTGCATTTGAAGTGATCCTTTCCCAAATCAAAACAGTTATTTTGTATCCTTGATATCTAAGCCACAGATTCTCTTGATCCTGATCCTTGCATGATACTAATGTATTAAAGCTGTTTAATATAACAGGAAATCGTTACTGCAGTTTAATTTTTGTGGTTTTGGCCCTCCATGATGAGGGCGAATTTATCATTACAGCGAACAGTAGTAAACAAAATAATATAAACTGTAATTAAACGTGAAGGGGAAATTATCATTGGGCAAACATGGAATATACCGTTGAAGAGGGAAAGTTTGATGGGACGAACATTTCCTGTATAGGGTCAAGTGGTTAAAAGTCAGATGCACTAAATATATTGGTACTACATTTAGTAAAGTTCTGTTGAATTAGCATTACTTGATAATTGTAACAATTAAATCACTTCAATGAGTTTGTCATGTCATGCTTCAGTGGAGGGAGTCATGGAGCTGACCAATGGTCACACCAATGGAAACGTAAGTCTGTGTTCTGTGTTGTTATCACTTGTGTCCTATTGACAGACGTTCATTAACAAATGTTCTTCCTGTAGAGTCTGCCTCAAGAACTGCTTTCTCTCGATCAGTTAAATCATCATGCCATTTTTTGTTTTCAAACAGCTCTCTTGGAATCATATCTAACATTTTACACTCACAACATTAACCTTTGAGTCAAAAAGCCAGTCAGTTCAGCAAAAAAATAAAAAAAATACCTGGGACTGAAAATATTTCACTTGAAAATGTAAAACTTTTAATATTGGTAAACAAAACCATTAATTCTACATTGTATATAGTAATGATATATCTAGTGGATATATACACATGGAGAATTAATTGCGGAGGACATTCTTTTTTACATATATTGTATAATCTGGTATCTAGGTACAACAATTAATAATTACATACAAAGTCAATTTAATTACATTGATAATATGGGTTCTATCCTCTTTATTTACATTATCTTATGGGGCAGTGGGGTTTATTTATATAAGTTTCGCCTCATATAAACTTTGTGACGTTTACACTCTGACCGATTTACCACGACTGGAGTATGAATACTTTATCACCGTGAACATTGCTAGCGTCAAATTACCAAATTTTATTGAGGCCAAAGGTAGGAAGCAGAAAAAAATACTGAAATTAACATTCATGCCATGGACAAAAGAGCTGTAAAGTTGGAAATAATGCTGATTCCTTAAAATTTCTTTAGAAAGAATCCTGCTTCTTTTGATTCACACTAAACGCCAACAGTTATCTGATAATCTCCAATTATTCTTTATGATCAGAATATATTAGGAAATCAAGTTTCATGAAATTCTAGTCAAAATACCCGGAATTCAGGCATTTAGTGTAACAGGTCACCCATCAAACATTGAAATGTGTTGACAACATTTTGTGTGCAACCACTGTTTATATTTCTCCTTACTAACGACTTACCTCCCTTCCTGCAGGTAGAAGTGGATGATGAGATGTTGAAAATGACACACCAGGTGAGCACACTAGCACACCCGATTGGTTAACACTACTAAATAACCTAATTCTAATTGGTCATTTGGCTCATTGGTTATATTTGATAATTCAGTAACATAAATGTATATACATGCAGGTAAAACTAAAACAGATATAATCATGTAATCAATTTAATCATGTACTCTTTCTTTACCCGTGATCGTTTGTGCTTTCAAATATTAAAGGACAAAAAGCATAATCTTTTACTGGTGCTTTTACGATTCTTTAAGGTTAAGTATTTCTTGCCGTTCTCGATTAAACAAAGAAGCAAATAACCTTTGAACTTTACAATTTTTTAACTCGAATCTGAGATGGTTTCAAATATATAGAGAAAAAAATACAAAACATTGTCCTAGTAATATAACTGCATGTTAAGATAATATTAGTCATTGTGTGTAGCATGTGGTGTTTAATAAGATAATAATTGTGGAAATTAATGAAATATCACAACCAGAAACACCTATCCTTTTGTTTGATTTTTTGTTGAAATATAGAATAGAAAAACCTTTTTGTTTGATGGTTTGTTGAAATATAGGGTAGAAAAACCTTTTTGTTTGATTGTTTGTTGAATTATAGGGTAGAAAAACCTTTTTGTTTGATTGTTTGTTGAAATATAGAGTAGAAAACATTGACACCAAAGACTGGAAAAGAACAGAAATTAATTTATTTATAGATTATCTCTTTTTCGAAGAAAAAAAATTACATAAAAAAACAAACGAAACAGATCCACATGAAAGCATTCTCTTGAATTCTACATACAAGTAGCATTCTGTTAGGAATTCTACATACAAGTAGCATTCTATTAGGAGTTTTGAGAAAATACAATTTAGCGCACTGAAAGTTTTGTCAAGATCCATGGTAGCTAGTTTAAAGATGGAAAACCACTTGTCCAAATATCTTGCTTGTTAAAGATCAAACTTACTGACTTGAAACATTGAAAGCACTGCCATTGGTTCTAAAGACCATTGATTGGTTAACACCATTAACTGTACCCATATAACTGATTGAAATTAACTATACACTGACACATCATAGTCAAAGATATGTTCATCAATCGCTAATATGAATTGTAGAAGGCACTAACACATGAAAAGTGGCTTATGTTACAACATATGAATTAAACATGATCATGCATTGTGTATGTGTACCTATGTCTTGAATAGATGGAGTACTTGAAGGTGGAATGTGACGACTTGAAGAAGGAAAACTTCAAACTCAAGAAAACTGTTGACACACACAAGCAAGCATTGGAGATGAACAAGGCTAGGCCCAGGAGAGGTAGGTCTACATGTCATAGTAGATATTGATAAGAGACTTGGCCTAGTGGTGGTATCATTCATAGCAGACATTAATAAGACTAAGGACGAGGACAGGGGAGGGTACTCAGTCACAGTAAACATTGGTGGGACTAGGCTCAAGGGTGTATGTAACCATGCTTTGTAAGCTATTCCAAAGCAAATCAGGTTCATTAAGGTTTTTGAACAGGGAACAACACTTATAAAAATGTTATGGACTGAATTCCATTGTTTGTTGTGGTTCACTTTCCGTCTTTTAATGTTATATTATTTCCCTTTGGCTATAACAAGTAACAGTTCCTGTACACTGATTTCGTCTAGGAAGGATGGATGTCTGATTTTGCTCCCTTGTACAAGAACTTTGATTCAGGACTTTATGATACTGAATACTATTTCCAAACATTAAGCTGTGCTTTCTTGATATTGTGTTCACAGGCAGTATAGTAGACACAGAGAAAAAACGTCCTGTTACAGAGGGCCCTACTAAGGCCGTGGGGCTGGATGTGGACCTAGCCAAGGCACTCAAAGTTTTCTTTAAGGATGTGAGAGGTGTGCAATTACAGGTGAAGGAGATGAGACAACAAGGTCAGTATCCAACACGTCATTGTCAGTAAGGGAAAGGAACGTATTGAAAACTGGAAAAATGGTCTGTAGACTAACTAGTAAATGAGTTATCAATCTATTTATGAGATGGGAGTAAGAACATACTATGTAATGGTCATCTGTTTGTTTCCTGGGAGGGAGTAAGAACATACTATGTAATGGTCATCTGTTTGTTTCCTAGGAGGGAGTAAGAACATACTATGTAATGGTCCTCTGTTTGTTTCCTGGGAGACAGTAAGAACATAATTAGGGCCCCGTATCTCGATACGGGTGCCCTATAGTAATCACTCTGTCTGACCGTCCCTCCGTCTGTCTGTCCACAAATTTTGTTCCTGGCTGATAACTTGGGTATTTATTGACCGATTTACATACTTGGCCAAGATGTTCAATTCAAAAAAATACACACTGAGGTAAAAAGTCAAGGTAAAAGGTCAAGGTCATTAGGTTCAAGGTAAAATTTTCACTGATGAACATTTTGTTATGAGATGATGAAGCAAAGTTGGTCAGATTTAAACAAAGAGACACACTGAAGTAAAAAGCCAAGGTCAAGGCTATTAGGTTCAAAGGTCAAGGTCAAAGGAGGGGTTCCAATTTGGGCCTTCTGTTGGCTATCACCAATAAGTTATGCCATCATGAAATGATATGAAATTAAGGTCAGCATGGAGACCATTCCAATATATTAGGGGGTAAAGTGGGGGACCAAAATCACAAATGGACGCTTTTTTTTTTACAAAACAACATGTTTTTAAATTTTCTTCATCATTTTGGTGTATTGCTTTGCACTAAAGCATATTATGGCTGAAAAAAGTAACACATTGTTAACAAGTAGGTCACTGTGACCTTGTTATTTATTGGCTCAATTATGTCAACAATTCTTCCTTAGTTGTGCCTAAATACATATTAGAACCATACAATAATCTTACCAAATTGTATTAATAAGTATCTTAACCATTTAAACAATCTTAACGGATTTAAACAAAGAGACACACTGAAATAAAAAGTCAAGGTCAAAGGTCAAGGTCAAATTTTGAAGGTCGAGGTCACTGGGTCAATGTTGAGGTCAAATATTGTATCGTTTCACTGGTGAACATTTCGTTATGACACTTTGAAGCAATGTTGGTCGGAATTAAACAAGGAGTCATTTGACCAAAGGTCAAGGTCATTTGAGTCCAAAGGTCAAAGACAAAGTGGATCTCTGACTTTGACCCTGGCTCTTGATGGGGGAGGTATTTAAGGTGAAATAAAACAAATCAAAGCTAACAATAAGTATTGCACTGGTATTTACATTTCTGTTTGCCCAGTAAATATGGAGGTGGAAGGAAACAAGACTCACATCAAAGTACATGTAAAATGTACATTTTGCTTCCTTGCGATTCTTTTTGAAGTCCAAATGCCAAACGTCAAGCTCAGCTTGATGGGCAGATTGCTTCTTGATGATTATTGGGGATATATTGCCACAAGACGGGGCCCTTACTGACCTGTTAGTGTTCTAGTATGTAATGGTCATTTGTTGTTTCCTAGGAGGGAGTAATAACATAGGAAGTAAAAGTGAATTCAGTGAAGGAGTGAACAGTTTAAAAGTAATCATTTCTAGTTTCAACTGATGGAAGAGCGAAGGAATTATAAAGTTATGATATTTTATATTTTCAGTGATGGATGTGAATCAGGACCCTAGACAGAATGGCAACCTAAAGGTGGCACTAGAAAAACAGGACAAAGGACTACTTGATATTGACAGTCATCTTGCCACATGTGTACAGAACCTTAAACAAACTGTATCCTCCACACTGAAAAAGAGCAAGAGCTAGCACAACTCTGATCAGTGCTATCATTACCACTGGACCTCATCCTTCAAACTTTCAGCCAAAGGATATACAAGAGTTTTGATGACACTGATCAGCGGCATGTATTCTGAGAAATTTGCTTGTCCAGATCAAAGCTTTACTGCAGCATCCTTACCTTGTCAATGCCTGTTAGCCAAACCACTTGTATTGTTCGCTATGCCAGATAAGAGGAGTGAATATGGTGTTGTTATCTTGTTAAAGCTGCACTCTTCCTCTTCGATGTTGCATAGGATATTATACAAGAGGTGAAAATAATACATGTTTACAATCAGCAACATTCATCATGTCTATTACCCATAATAACCATTGTTCCCTGGTGGGTATAGGTAGTGCCATCTGTGGGGAAATGTCTACCATACTGTGATGATTGGGAGTAAGGTTGATACATAGAGAAGGTTAAATGTTAGGCAGGATGTTTTTACACTGCCTACTCAGCACGACTGCCATAAAACACTGTTATTGGGTATCTGGAAGTGTTATAAGTTGAAACTCGTATATCTGTCCTAAGACCAGTCTATAGTGATGCCACTGGACATTTCACACAATTGTCTGAAGACTACTGAGTATCACGATGATACAAAAGATACGCCACACATCAATCGTAAGGTTAGTGTAATTATATTGTGGAGTGGTATACTTCTTTACTCAGCAAAACTGCCCTTGGACCAATCTAAATGTCGAGTGCCATGAAAACATGTATACTCGGCACAACTGTGGTCAGATCACACTCTACTCGGCACAACTGTCGTCAGACCACACTCAATATGTAGCAGTGTACTGACATGTAAAGTCCACCCTTGGTGTGTAGTGGAGTGTTAACTTAAATAGATGATGCTCCATTCATCTTTTCGCAGACCATTGGAATGTCACTGATGCATCACATCAATGTTGCGAACCCTTTGAAGATCAAATCTCTACTGCATGGGTTGCCAATATAAATCAAGAATCCCTATACATGAAAATGCTCATTCATCAAATATGATAAATCCGTCCACTATTTATTGCAAATAAAATGTTTATAAAACAAGAAATATGTATTTATCTTGACGTTTTGTATTCCTATCTTATGCAATACGGATATGTCATTTTCATGAATAACGTAAATGTTCCAATTGAATCACTTCGCCGTTTCCCATCGCACTTCGCGGAAATTGCAAAGGATTTGCAGGACTTCTATTTTGCATATTAACATATCATCAAACGAATATTTTCCAGTGACGCACTATTTTCAAAAATTATACATCTAATTCAAAATGACAAAGCTTCGGAAAAGTCGTCATCGCAATCATCATTGAAGAAACAACAAATATTTACATCGCAACAACTACCAGAAGTTGAACAAATATGTGCCATTTTTGAAATGTCCCAACTCATTTAATGTCGCAACAGCCACGCATTACAAGCCATCGTCAGTCAAATGACACACACAAGCAAAATTGAAATTTCTGAAAATGGAATAGGAAAACTTAATGACTTAAAAAAAGTTGTGACCTAACTAAGCACTCGTAGACTGGATATGGAACCTTCATTATTGTTATTGACTCCCTCAATCATACGGCAGACAAAACATTCAAGAAGGGAGCAATCTCGACCTTACTTTGATAAACCGACCAGTCATTATCACTAAACAAGAAATACTACCACCCACAGGTAAGCGAGACCATGCTATCATATAGATAGAAGTAGACATAAGCATATAGATAGAAGTAGACATAAGACAAACACCAATACTCTCTTGGAATAATTACATCCTTATATCGCAAAATCGACTGACCGACTGACTATTTTTACGAAGACAGCAGCCTCAGGGGTTGATAGTTTGGGTGACTAACATATCTTAAACACCACAAACTACAAATGCACATAATTAAGCTGTCAAGACCGTAGGCGAATACAAACCTGCAACGCACACGCATAATACATAGTGAAAATGATCGCAGGCACACCTTAACGCGGACCCGATGAACCCCGCACCAGCAACGAATCCCCAACTTCCCCCAGAAAACCTCTTTTAGCAAAACAACTAGGACAAAATACAGAAAGCACACCCGTGCGCTAAAACGGAAATCTTACAAATGTAAACGGGTTTTACGAACATGTATAAGATCCCTCGCAAGAGAACATCACAATAACATAACAATTAACTACATCTTCATAACGTCACCTATCGTGTAAAGGAGTGAGAAAAATTGCTCCGGTTTATTAGGTCACAGTGGTAAAGTAATGGGAATGGATACGTAGACAAATTACACTGTATAAAACCTGTAATCCGTGAATGGTCTTAACTATAGAGAAAGGCACCGATACGAGGTTGTCCTTGCTCGTCTCCAAATGGTTTATTGAAACACCCCGAGGCATGTCACGAATCATGTACAGTAAAAAAAACTTGCTGTTGAATTGCATTGACCTTACGCCAACTTGAGAAAAATCTATAATAGTATAACAAGTCTTTAATCTCTATTCTAAGCAGTAAGTATCTCTACAATTTTAGACTACCTGAACAATATCACTAACCCTAGCCACTTTAAAGATTCAAATTAACGTTTGTCTTTTTGTACCGTCTTGTACAATGTATGTTAATCATGTTTTACCTATTCTTATCGACCCTTTATTGGCCCTAATGACATGTTCCGTGTTGATGGGCATTTAAGCATGTAATGGTAATATGATTTCTCAAAACGTTAACCCACACAAAGCGACCGGGCAGGCCGGATATATGACCGCATACACAAAGAAGTCAAAACACAAAAAGCACCAATTACCGAAAAAAATATTCTAAAAATTACCTTGACACAGGAACACAGCCAAACGTTTTTTTTAGAAACATGCAAACGTGAACCCAACATTAAAATAAGAGCGGTTTAGGAACAACATAACCTGCCTATTAGAAGAATATTGGAAAAATAGTCCGAAACAACTATTTAAAAGAAAATTCTGTTTTTGACTTCCGTGCAAAATTCTTTGCAAACTTAGGAACCTCCATGCCAAATAGTCCAGACTACCACTGATGGCACTTCATTAACGTTTGTCCTCTAGAAAACTTCGATGTTAAATATTAGCATCGTAATACGAATACAGAAGATACATTATTCCTGGGATTTAGCGAAAGTTTGAGGGGGCGGGGGATGTTTTGACACCACTGAGTCAATTCCATTCAAATATCGTAGTAAAAGGTTGTATCAATCTTTTTCAATGCTTGCATCGAGGCCGGATTACAAAACAATACAAAACAAATCGTTCTTCTAACGATAGAAACTGAGACAAATAACAATACAGACCCATCTCTTACATACACTTCTGCACCTCAAGCAAACTTCCTGAACACATAAGCAACAGGGCAATTCATTCAACAGATGACAACAAAATACTAACAATCTTTTGCCTTTCTAGATCATGTGAAAGATGACTTAACAACATTCATACAAAATGTACAATAAAAACAAATATCACAATGGACTTGACCAAACCTTAATATAGAGTCACACAAAAACGCTTGATGTACTAACTGAAATACTACGACTTATTACGATGTATCGCAAGAAGCGCGTTGACCTGGATTATTATTATTATTATTAACACAACGCACCCAAATAGGTATTCTTTTAAAGCAAACGTTCAAACAAGATATTTCTGACTCAAGGAACCTGTTTGGGCCCAGTCCTCTCCCTCACACACCACACAGGATATTGTGCCCATGTCCATTCCCTGACGCAACATACTTTATAATTCAACAACAACAACAACAAAGACGATACCATCATTTTACAAAAACATACATAAATAAAGTCCCATTAAACAACTTATAACAACACGTTTTAATCGGTCAACTTGGGACAATTTCAAACTGACACTGGCGTTAAAACATTACATCATACACAAATCAATAGGCCTTCTGTAACGCAATCTGATATAAGTAAACTCAACAAACTTTAAAAACGATCACACTAGGCTAATACTATTTTGGGATCCATATTACCAGGGCCCAGTTCGAAAGATGATTAGTTCAATCAGCGATCAACGCACTTTTTATTTTTGTGCAACTTTAAAAACAAAACCATTGAACTTTTCAGATATCAATTATTTATTAGTGTTAATTTACATGCAAAATTGTGAGATTTTACCTTGGATATTGACGAAATTATTAAAGATTGAAAAATGATGTTAAACAGATATTAAGCTAACCACCTTTTGAACAACTGGGCTCAGATAGGAAAGACTCGAAGGGCTGCACGTTACGTCAAAAACAAATATCACAACACAGTCATCAATGAACAACCAAGCGCATACTGCTACAAAGTAGTAGACGAACAGGTAGGAATGGCTAAACATCCTCATTCCAGCAGGCCCCAGAAAACGCCACGGCGGCGACTTTATCTACAGTTACAGTCTTTCTGTATACACTACAACGCAAAAAACCACCCTTCCTCCCCAAAGAAATACACAAACACACACAAAACACAACAAAAGCTGAATTCAAGACGCACCACACTCAACATATTGGAAGATATAAACAAATAACGACTTGACTGATCCAGTTCGTTTTTAATCTCGTTTTATGACACTATAAAACACGCACTGTAAATTATCACTCATGCTATGGTGCATACTCTGTATATCCATAGGCATAACTATTGATAGTAAATATCCTACACGCGAAGGAAGAAGACAGGCCATTCCTATTTGATCCCCGATTATGGCCTTTTAACTCGAAACTCTTTTATACAGACCAACCAGTAATACATATCTTAATTTTCAGTAAGAAGACATTGACAAGAAATGGCAGAAGAAATAAAACGTTTTTCCATAATTTTTTCATGGTTTTACTTCATCGCAACAGCTAAGGTCACACCAAGACCTAGGGGGATGCAAAATCAAAGACGTAGAGGCCACCGTTGGCCCCCGATTCTTCAGAGGTCTCATATTAGTCGTCGGGTACGACCATGCTGTGGCACACATCAGGTTTATTATGACGGCAGCCACCTAGATGATTCATTGGGCGGGAAAATCCGAGATTTGTGTCGCACATACGTATGTTATATAGTAATCGATTACAGCCCTAGAGTGGACAGAGAGTTATACAATGAAAACGGGACAATGGAGTGGCGTGCAGACTTAATAAATCGACAATCCTTAACTGAAGGCTTATTGCCGCGGTATACTTAGTAACAGGTAAACAAACCTTCAAATGCCGCCAACACCTGGAGTGTTTGACAATATATGTCATTTAAAGCACAAGATCGATAGCACGAATTCCGGAAAAGGTTCAGAATCTAGGTCAATATCAATCAAAAAGCGAACTAAAATAGTATTGTATCGAAGAGTCCACGAACATGCACTAGATTACCAGACTGTTGACCGTTTTCGTGCTGTCAAACGGTTGGGTGCTCGCTGACAGCTGACAGCTGGCTGCTCGGTGCCGTTAGACGGTTGGGTACTCACGACTCGGGCATGCTAAGGGACAAACAATCAAAGTACGTATTGGTTTTATTACATAATACAAGTTCTAGAGATTTTACTACATGTCCGTCATGTAGTGTTACGATATATTACTGCGTCGCGTGAAAAGATGCTGCATAAATGACAGAATATCATAATAACGGGTATATGACATATATTTTCTGTCTAAGCTAATGTACATAGTTTACGAATCTAATACAGTTTACGTATGTATATATGTAAGTGGTGCCAATGTTATGAATTACAAGCTTGAACCCGATTCGAATCGTTACATAGCCACGATACTGTCTCGTAGAATCAAGTACAGTACATTGTGTGACGATTGACCACTGCTAAACGCTACTATGGGTACTGACCAGTGTATTATATTGGCGGTCTACGTAGTAATGATGGTAACATCGATCATAGCTATACTGCAGTGTAATTAAGAAGTATATATCTGGACACTGCTATCAAAGGTTGTACATGTGGCATACTTAGTGTTTTATCAACGTTTCAATATCCGTACACATGGTAAATATCAACAACCAAGTATATTTCTGTAGGCATATAAACCATAAACACTGTGCCAGTCACGGATTACAACTTTAATACCCTAATAATACTTATTGGATTTACGTGCGGGGTGTCGAAGTTTTATGAACTCATTCAAACGACTGCCTTGGTACATTATTCCCCCAAGTCATCAAACGTGGGTCGTCCTAACCGGTGAACTCTCGGGTTGTGCGAGAACGTCTACATTTGAGGTGTCATTTCGTAGTTAACTGCCTGATTTCAGTGTTGAACATGTTTTTTCCGGTTCTGTTTATTAAGTATATCCATTCCTGTATACGCCGGCCTTCTTTGTAGAAATTACCAGTGTAAACCGTACTAATGATTAATTGATCCCAAAAAATTACCCACAATATTACTCTGGCAACTTTCCAATGAAAAGATTTTAAAATATTCCTGATTGACATTTGTAAATACTAAAACACTTTTAAATATCATCCATTAAACAAACATAAATAAAAAAGCATGTTTGTTCAATTCTTCATACGTAATGTCTGTATGATCGAATCTGCCCTCACTATCATTTAAAGGGACCACCATAGCCATCCCCACCAAGCAGTTCACTATATTGGTGTTCTATGGAGAGACACTCTCAGCTTTCCCTTCAGTGGGCTTTTAATGCAGATTAGACTTTCTTTATATAACGACATTTAACCACGATATTGGTATCCATTTGTCGCCGAACTCGTGAACGTGCTGCGTACAGTTTTCGGTTGATAAGTAGACAGTTATAGTCGGAAAAAAAGAGACTAAACTTTGGATAGGCCTATTTTGTGTAGTGTTTTATGCTGTGTATATATCCAGCTAGACGTTTTGTATGCCTCTTTTTAACTGATATATTTTTGACTGTCACTGTAGGAAAACTATTTTCCCTGTGTTGTAAAGCGCCTTAGAGTAATTTAACACATTACATAGGGCGCTATAGAAATGTTTGTAATATCCGGTTCTTCACATTCTAAAAACCGTAGTAATTTTATTCATGACACTCTAACTTTTATTTTAATAAGTTTCATTTTAAAGTCAGTTATTTAGTTAGGAAGTGCTTATTATTATTTGTGTTGTGAATATGTAATCAATAAGAAAATACCTATTTGCAAACAAAACCGCAATGCAGCCTAAAACACAAAACTTGAAAAAGTACAAGGAAAACAAGACCTAGGTGTTATCACTATAAGCATCCTCTGATTCACCAACGACACTCGCCATGTAAACCAAGGCCAAATCCAATTGATGTCAAGCTCTCAAAGAGAGAGCCAGGGAATCTGAAATAAAACCACAAGGGACACTAACGAGCAAACAACAAAACGCCGATATTAATTTTGAACAATGCTATAGGATATTTCCCAATGACATCATGATAGCGACCATAGAAGTTCCCCCTTATTGTATCCAATAATCGTTCCTCAGAGGTACTTCATGTTAGGCTAAGCTGTATAATACATAGAGTAAACATAAATTACCTAATTATCAGATCAGGATCGAAGAATCTGCCGGCACTACAGGAAAAGCAACTGATAAGTTGTTGCATTACATTTATTCATAACAGATATTGGCCCTTTGTTGTCTCGCGAATCTGCTGACGGAAGAAAACGATTTTCGTTTCGTTTCATATTCGTTGTTTACAAACAAATTAAATACATATAAACGAATTGTGAACATCTATTGGCATTTTAAAAATGTCTAAAATAAAAAACCAACGCAGGTTTTAAAACATTGCAAATTGACCAATCGCGAACATTAGGTGTCATTTCAAAAGTGTCTAAAACAATTAATATTGGCAAACGTATGTTTGGATATACTTAACATAAAGATACTGTTTCCTTTCTAGATAAAAACAGACTCCAACCATGGGCTGTGGCAGTAGTTCTGAGGTGAGAGCGATCACGCCAGAGGGTAGACCAAACTATAACAACAACGACAACAGCAACAAGCAAAGACAACAACAACATCAACAACGGCAACAGCATCAACAGGTTGAACAACATCCGAATAGTGTTGAAAATGATCACGAACTTCGGCAGCAACAAGAACATCACGCAATGTTGCTTAAACAGCAGCAAGAAGAACAACAGTCAATGTTACTCAAACAGCAGCAAGAAGAACAACGGGCAATGTTGCTTAAACAACAGCAAGAAGAACAACAGGCAATGCTACAACAGCAACAACAGCAACAACAAGCAGCATTAATTCAACAACAGCAGCAACAATATGAACAGCATGACCATCAAAGTCAAGAGCAGGAACAACAACAGCAACACAATCATCAACAGGAACAACAACAGGAACAACAAAATCAAGAGCAGGATAATCCTCCTCCAGAGGAACAATTAGATTCCGACTCTTTAGGTGAAGGTACCGCTCCGGAGGAAACATTGGAACAAGCTCGACACCGTCTGGCGGTATACGGACAATACGACGAGAGTTACACCGTCAAACAGGTGTCGGCCATTAACCAGGAGAACGGTCAGAGTGTCCTCTTTATCTGGGCAAAACTCGTCCACCTCACCGCAGCATTCAAGGACATCATAGAACCGGAAGTAAAAGCTCGACAGGCCGAGCTCGAGCAAGACTGTCCGGGATTATTTGAAGAGGATATGTTATTACATTTACGTGAAAAGTCAACGACACATCCGTTCAGGATCGTCAACCGAATCGGAATTAAAATGTCAACAATTCTTAAATATGTACCAAAGTGCAAAGTGGCAACACTTGTCGTTCCGAATAACAAAGAGTTCTGGTCTGATATCCGGTCGGACGCGGACAGAGTGGCGACGGACATTAGAAGTAATGGCAGTGTTACTCCGTACCAAACCGAGTATCTCCAAGTTCTTGTACGTTTTTTCGAGTTGTTTGGACAGTTGGAGGGTGATATTCCTCTAAGTCCTCCTAAAGCCGGCGGAGATCCCAACATATTGGCGTATCCTCTCCCCAACTCGGTTGCGGCGGACCCTGAATCGATTCGACGATGGGCTGAAACGTGGGAGGTTTTTGACCTCGTGTTGCCAGAGGATGGGGCTTGGGGTTGGCATGGATTCGAAAATCTAGTGTTTTCCGACATCAAGGAATGTGCAGATTTCCCTCAGCTTCTGAGGCTGTCCGAAAATGGCGACGAAGATCTTCTGGAATTCGATACCGAGGTTGAAGGAGAAGCTGCATGGGACGTCATAGAGGTGGACTTATTTAAAGATGACGTTACGACAGAAGAACAAAACCTGATCTGGGAAGAGCGAGAAAAACGTTCAGACCTCGATGACCCCGAGAAAATGAAAAAGAGGAGAGAGAATTTAGAAGAGTACTTTATTATAAAATACGAATGGGAATCATCAGCGCTTGATGCCTATCGTGGATGGGCGGATACATTAGAAGCCGGTTGGCAGAACTTCCAGAAGCTCTGTGACAGTTAAAGGTAGCGAATCGAGCCAAAGGCTTCGAGTCCAAAATTGGTTCAATATACTACGTCACTTCCACGAGACAACCATTTCCATGTCACTGATTTATTAGCATCCTCACACTATCACAAGCAGGGAGACGTGTATATATAGAAATAGATATCGTGAAGATGACATAAAACGTTGCGTCGGACAACCACATACACAATACAGTGTACTTCCTATCCTGCTTTGACCACCGGTAACTTTTCATCTACAAATACTGATATATAATTTGTTATTACATCTTTATTTAGTTAAAGATATTTTGTCAGAATTACCGTACGAATTATTTGTGTCCATACGATATTGACAATTAAGTTCGCAAATAGTCGTATTAGACAGATCATTGAACTAGCATACTTCACAACATAGATACCAAGCGTTGTAGCTCACAAATCATTTATCCAGTTAACTATACTTCTGTAACTACCACAAGTTGGATAGATTCAGATCCGATTGTTTTCTTGTACATTTTAACACAAACAGTCGCACGTGTATATGTCACTGGTTGAGTTATATGAACGAGTGAACATGTACATTGTATCAATCGGAACGTGGTTGATTTTTCATTGAACAAACAGGTCAATTATATATTTATATATAAGAGTCTGAAGAATCTCCTTGATAAAATAAAAGCGCTAATTACATGTTGTTAAAGTGTTTTTTTTCTTTTTATAGCATTTCTTCGTCCGTAAGAATCAATTTACTGCTGTGATAATATTTATATTGGTACCCAATTGATCAGTTGAACGTCATGCACGAAAAGGGACAGAAAGAAAGGAATTATACCAGAAAGAAAAAGATAAAAATAGCATGTGCTTGATGCAAATAACCAATACAGAAAAGACAAAGTACAGGGAATACGAAAAAACGACGAAACAAGTACTGACAAACAAAAAAGTGGAGCAAAATCTCGCGAAAGACATGACATTTAAAAAAAATCAAAATCTGGTCAGTTAAATATTTTACTGCACTTTCATAACTTCACGTGTAATTTGATGGCAAACACCAACAACAAAGTGCACATACTACTCTTCTCATTAACAGGCAATGTGTATTTGGTTTAACCAATGTTTTATTTACAAATATGCAGTACATAATATAAATTTTTACATAGTGTAATGTTAGGGATCTGGCAACAAGAGTAGGCTCTTATATTAAGCCATCTCCCAACAATGAGAAGATTGCAGTATAACATAAACAGGTTAAGTAACATCAATAATTATATAAATTCAACTAATATAGCTAATTTAACCATCAAGGCCGACCATTTGTATATATTTACATTCTGTATGCTTAGACCCATTGACAAAAATTACATTCATAAATGCATAACACAGGTGTTCATAGAATCTCAGCACGTGGAAACTGATAGTAACCTGATCACACTGCGTAGTAATACACTACAAAAACTACTCACTCGGAACGACCGACCTAGATGCTTAATTCTTACATCTTAAAATATTATTGAACTGTGCTTGGTGAAATATCCACGTATTCACGTGTCCTGTGCTACAAATAAACATTGAATATGGAACTACATTTTGTTGTGTTATTGTTGTTGACGGTTGCTAAGATCTCTCACGATAGTGTCACATTTCCCCGCGAAAAAACACTGTTCTCGCCACTGCGTTGCACCCGTGTATAAGCAGGAACAAACCCTGTTTATTTGTTTTATTCGTTGTTATATCGATCCACTGAAAGGATTCGTCAATGTAAATATAAGGAATGATATTTATTTTTTCAACATTTATGAGGTCATAACAACAATGGGTTTTTGGACATATTTTACATGAATCGCTAACGCGATTCATTCAATATGTCCATAAACCCATTGTTGTTATGACCTCATAAATGTTGAAAAAATAAAAATCATTCCTTAA